ACTGAGACACTAATAAGAGGAAAGAGAGCTGAGAGCTTGTAAAGTTTTGTCAAGGTTTAATTACTGATTACATTACGAACAAAATTATTCTGGAACGATGACATTAGATTTAGATATTACAGTACACTAACATCAAACGTTTAAGCTGCAACGAGAAAGAAGGAAAAAGAAATAAAATATTCCATTTCGTATTTTAACAGCTTTTCAAAGAAAGACTATTACCGAGTTACGAATGACGAAGGCGTTCTGATGCCGACGTTTTTGGACATGACTGGTTTTCCTGATGAAAAATCTAAAACTGTTTTGGATCTGTTGGAGATAGTATTTTCTGGTCGAATCAATGAAAATCAGAAACTGGCTGATATCGTTCAAGGAGTCAAGTGCATTTCCTCAGAAGCTGTGAACCATTATAATAAAGAGGTCAATCATTTACCGGTCGATCGAATCATTGTTATTTCTACACTAGATCCTGACTCGACACTCCCTAGATATCTTTTATCTGCCATTTCTGAAGCTGCAAAAAAAGACAGAGGTAAGTTTAGATAGTAAATAAAGGCAACAATAGTATATCACTGTTCAATAGTCATAATCCGATTAAGCAAAAACAAATCCGCGTAACAAACTAAAACAGAGGGAACCACATCAACTATAAGAGGAAAACAACGGAACAACAGAAACACTGAACTACAACAAAAGTAAACGCCAAACATACATAGAAACGGACTGTAGATAACAACTACCATATTCCTGACTTGCTACAGGACATTTTAAGAACTGCTTTATTTTTTATGACACTCATTGTCTTCACAAATAGGCAAAATGTCGTCTAAATTAAGAGTTTAATCTCCCCATATTACACACAGCTAGAACTGGTCTTAAATTAAACATACATAATTATGTCCTCTTTAATTCCACCCTGTCGTAAGATTTTGACAAAAAAAATCATTTTCTGAAAAGACTATTTTTGTAATTTTTTAAACCACCTATTTTAAAATTTTTATTGGAACTTATATGCTTACCTTTTCTTAAAAATGATTTTTTTTTGGAATAAACATCTTTATTTATTGTAAAATTATATTTTCTTTTGCATTTTATCTATAAATAGAATAAAATTGTTTAAATATATAGCCTTTTTTTCGTTAAAATATAGACGTAAACTTCGTTTGCTTGACAATAAAAGTACGCATTTTTAACGCATAGTGTAATAAAACTCTTAAACATCCTCAAAACTATTCCTGATAAAAATTTCTTAAAGCAGGTAAAGATAATTTTACAGTAATCGATGATCAAAATCTATATAAAACTGCAAGTTAACCTAATATGCCAAAAAAAAAACCAATATTTACGCAGTAAGTATTCCAAGTTTTCAAGGAATTGTTGTTTTTTTTACAAATAGGCTTCTTTTATCTGGTAACGTGAATAAGCAACCAGTCTTCTCAGATTATTAAGAGTTTTATCAAATATTACAACAGAAAAAAGTGCAGTATAAGATATTAAAGAACTTACTCTGAACGTACATTTAGGAAAGGAAAAAGGAAGCTATTAAACCAAGAGTTCCAAGTGGTGATGTTGAAATCATCCCTTCAAGAGTTTTACGGACGCCATTACGAGTTGGTTGACCGTTATGGAATATCTGCAGATGATAACGGATATGTTCCTATTGTTGTAATTACAATCCCGTCCCTTTTTTCCGAATGTGACCTACCAAATTAGACTTATTACCGGGTTTTTACTAACATGAGCAACACGACGGGTGTCACATGTGAATTAGGATCTGCGTATCCTTCCGGAGCACCTGAAATCACCCCAAGTTTTTGGTTGGGTTCGTGTTGCTCAGTCTTTAGTTTTCTATATTGTGTTTTGTGTACTATTGTTTGTCTGTTTGTCTTTTTCTTATTAAGCCATGGCGTTGTCAGTTTATTTTCGACTTGTGAGTTTGAATGTCCCTCTGGTATTTTTTGCCTCTCTTTTACCTATCTCAAAGTGTAAGCTTATTTATGCAAAGTGCCAATGTCTGCATCGGCAGTATCCATGAACGTACATCTGATCTGCACAAATTCATCTTTTTTACGGACTAAACTGGGGTAGAGTGGTCTCATTGGCTCTATAGCGCATCTCCTTATTTTCAAATTAAAATCTCTTGACACGGACTTTTGAATTCTATGTTTTTACATTTATATCTGAAAAAATGCAATTGATCTGTAGTTTTACACGTCAGGAAATGTTACCTGCACTAGGTACATAATTTAACATAAGCTATGTAATTATCACCCCTCATCAGTTAACACGTCTATGTGGATCCGTAGAACATGCAAATTGCATGATATGAGTCCTAATCGGAACTGTAACAGGACGGCTTTCAAAGTTCTTGCACAGATGTTTGATTGCGAATCTTTTTAATTTGCAAGAAATCTAGTCGCAATGTTGTTTGATCAAAAAAAAAAAATAAAAAATAAGCAGCGTATGCACTTGCCATAAGTATATTTGACTTAATTAACAAGATGGAAGTGTTTTTCTCTCTTTTTCATTAGTGTTAGTCTCCAATTAAAATTTGTGACAACCTTAGCTTGCTTTTTATAGTAATGCACAGGTTTTGAAAACACTAAATAAGACAATTGACCCTATGTTTATCTCTGTCGTTTAAACTTTTATTATTTTTCTGAGGAGCCGGGTGTTCGTAGTTAATGTTGTATCTTCTACTGTCAAATAGTATTGGTATTGAATATTATCGTTTAAAGCATTATTGTAATACTTAAAATAATTCGTTTGCTTTAATTTTCGTAGCAAAAATACCGAACTCCAAGGAAAATAAAAAAAACGGAAAGTCCTTTATCAAATGGTAAAATCAAAAGCTCAAACACATCTAACAGATGGAAAACAACTGTCATATTCCTGACTTTGTACAGGCATTTCCTCATGCAGAAAATTGTGGATGAAACCTGGTTTTATAGCTAGCTAAACCTCTCACTTGTATGACTGTCGCCTAGAATTCCAATATATTGACAAAAATGTCTGAGCAAAGCAAAGAGACCTTATACTAGTAGGTAAAATTGTCAGAAATGCGGGTACATCATTCACTGAGCTTTTGGTACACCGAAGTGAATTTAATTTGTTACATGACGTCATTAGAAAACAAATGTCAGAAAATACAAAATGTGATATCTTTTATTGATTTGCATTGATCTAAATTGTACAAATAACTTCCTGTGAATTTCTTTTGAATAGGAGTATTCTTGACCTACAATTATTATTAACAGATTAAAGTGTGATACAATAGTTACATTTTAGATCAAAACATCAAACAAAAAATCATGAATACCCTGACCTTAGACAGGCAATTAAAAATTTTAATTTTGATATGTAAACAGAGAATATTGATGGTTGTATTATTATGAGTTATCATTATCAACTGTGTTGACTTGAATGCTTTATTCTATGAAATTAAAGATATATTGTTTCAGGTTCTTACTCCATCGCGTGAAGACATTTTTAGGAAAACGGTAAGAAAAAGACCTGCGTACTGTCTAATAAATGATGCACTATTTATCTTGCAACATATTATGTAAATAAATTAATAATTTCAAGCTTTTGGTCACCTCAGAAAATGGTTTATATTTCTGGGATCTATCAACGTCCAACTGTCAAGTTCCATTTGTTATCGCAATAGTGTTCATTTAATGTCGATCGTGTTTTGGTCAGAGTCATTTAATCAAGTACCGATGTATGTCTTCTGTTCTTACAGTTAAATCTGGCGGTAATGTACTTTAGCACATGTTGGTTTCAACTTTTGATGTTAAAACTATAAATTGGCACAAACAATATTATAAAATACAACGCTTTTGATTACAAGTTTTCTAAATGTTTTTTTTAAGAATTCTACAGATTATTAACGGATGCAATATGTAACACTTACAAACAAATAAAACAGAGTCTGAAGATACCAATGAGTCAAAACAAACACATAAATCGATTAAAAGAAACAATACCATGACCTGAAGAAAAACGACGAAAAGACAAACAAGAGGTATTCTCACACACATTCTACATATCATGTTAAAAAAGTGTAGTTGAAAGAGGTCGTTCAACAACAATTAATTTGTAGATCTTAATGTTTGAATGAGTATAAACACATTTACGATCTTCAATCAATTTGTTGCCGTTGTGTTAAAACCGTTTTTGTTCCAAAATTTAAATTTTAAATTAACATATTCGACTTCACTTTTTTATTATGACCCGTAACCTTGTTGAAAACTTTTAGAAAGAGGACATTAACCATAACATGCATAATTATATATTTGATGCAGATAAAGTTTTGTTGATTCCAACACTGCATATATAGTTATGACATACTTATGTGAGAACAACATGTGAGTAAAATGAGATCGGAGTTTCTGTAATGTTTGTGGTTTTTTCACATTTCTTGATCGATGTGAGAAAAATATTTCTCCTCACTAGTGAAATATCTGTTCTCGACAAATTATAGGTCGAAATTTAATTATGACGTTAAATTTTCTTGGTTTCTTCTGAATTTCCTATTGTGACGTCATGAAAAAAGGCGACCATGTCTGATGACGTCACATATAAAGAACACAACGTTCTGCAAATCTTTGAAAAAGGAATGATAAAAATCATTAAAGAAACAGATTCCACCACTATAACTCGTGTATTACGATATTTCTCCACTCTCAACAGTTAAATTTTAATTATTTAAAAATATCGGCAAGCCTCGCGCTTTAAAAATTAAAATTTAACTGTCTCGAGTGGAGAAATATCGTAACACACTTGTTGCAGTGGTGAAATCTATATATCTCCTAACTTAACGCAAAGATAAAAACGCAATTCGAGTATACATGTATACTTATTATAAGTATATCGACATTGTGCATTGCTGGAGGCCATACGGTAATCATAGTTGCATATATCTATGTTATTTGGTTTCAGGTGGATGGTTGTCTCGTTGCAATCATACCACATCTTATTTTGTATACATAAGAATAAAATACTCAACATACCATGCGTTCTTCTCATATAACTTTTGTAGGTTAAAGATGAATCGAAACAAAAGGAACTAAGGGATAAGTTACTTGAAAAATGTAAGAAATTAGTCGATATAAGTGGCTTGATTAAAAAACCGTTAGCAATTGCGGTAATTGGAACGCCTGGAGGAGGGAAGTCGTCATTCCTTAATACTATTTTTGCCGATTTGAGCAATGAACGGTGGATAGAACGTGCAAAATGCGCAGACACTAGTAGAGCAGGCAGACAGATAACTCAACGACTAAAACGGTAAGAACAAGATAAATCACATTAACAACATTTGAATTATAAAACTGAATACTTTGTTGCATTACTGTTCTCAGCAATACAATTTGCAAACAAGTATTGCATTATAATTATCTGTTTAATGCAATATTAAGGTCTTCAAATGTATAATATTTTTTTTCAGGATTAAAACAGATGACAATAAGCCAAACAATCATACCGTATAGTAGGCTATAAAAGGCCCCGATATGATAAAATGTCAAATAATTTAGACGAGAAAAACCGAAGTCCTCATTTATACTAAATTTGTAAACGAAAAACAAATATGAAAGACAACGACAACTATTGTATTATAGGACCGCAACTAGGAATGTGCACTCAAACACAAACAACAACAGTTATGCGGTCAAGCATAACAAAAAGTAAACGCACTTTAACGCCACGTGCACAAATTTAATTTGGTAACTCTAATTTTCGCGTTTACCATACTTACGTTACAGCGGTCAAAATGAAAATTTCTGAAGTCAGCTCGATTTAAACCCGCGTTTACTCTGCGTCCGTTTAGTCAGTAATTAACGGTAGATAATAGGTTGCAAGTCTGTAAATATAGACAATGCAATTTCCCATAGGAACTTCTTTTACGGCTAAAACTATACCACAGTTACTTTGAAGTTTCGTAAAAAATTATATCCTTGAATGGAAAGTTCATATGCACTACTATTTTTTTCAAAGGTCAAAATATAGGGCTGTGCAGAATATTTTCAACATTAATATGCCCGAACTTCTAAGGGTTTAATTTTATACTAAACTACCCCTCTATTCACTTTTGGTCTACCACAGGTTTCAGTTTGTCCGCTATTCATATTTATCTATACTGGTAACATTCCAAAGTTACGTCTATACGAGATGAAACATCGAGATCATACCTGGGAACCAAAAGGTAAAGAAAAAAAATTATCTATGAATATCATATATCTCCCCAAACGAGGCGTGGATTGTGAATCAGCTGTATTAACAAAGTGCAACCTGCAACCTATACCAACATTTATTTAAATAGAAAAGTATTGAAAAACACTTTTTCTCATAACAATAGTTATTTATCAGAATCATAGCATAAAAGAAATCACTGAATATACTCTTAACTTTTCTTTTTCAGTATATTTTATACCCCCACCCCTGTTTTAATTTTTAAAGAATTAAAACAAGACTTTAATTAAGGTCAGCATGTTTTCTGACTTGGAATTCCTGGAACCTGTATGAAACTATTCTAATAACAAATTGATAATCATTACAACATTTAAGATTATATAAAGTATCCGATCCTGCCTCTGTCCCCAGTCCACATCCTACTGTATGCCTATTTATCTATAAAAGTTCACAGTTCCTGCCTCAAATGGTCAGTTTAGAAATCTTGTCACAATAATATTATCTATTACTATATACCTAGCATAAGTTGGCTAATATATGACTAGAAGTGTTTAAACAAAGCCATAGCTGCAAAAAATGTATGTTTGAAACTATGAATAAACCAGTCTGATACATGAATTCACTAAAAGTTTTATAGAACTAATGATGGAATCTGTTTTTTGCATAAATTCAAAGCACATTTTTTGTTTCTATACAAAAGACCTTAATAATAATAAAATCATAACCTTTGCAGGCTAATATATCTGTTTTATGACCCAGAGGCAAGGAATTGTTCACTGTATTTTGCCCCTGGGGCCTTAAACTTGCAAAATAATTCTGCGGTTTTTGTGAATATGGAATATTAAGTACATATTTAGGATAGAACACACTATTTTTAGTTTTATTGAGGTATTTTTGTATCTCTAGCTTGCATTTTTTTATGTCGCAGTTACAAGAAAGCACATTCAGGTGTTACAGCAACTCTGTAAATAAAGACAATGCAATTTCCCATAGGAACTCCTTTTACGGCTTAAACTGTAACACTTTTACTATCCTAGAATGGAAATCTCATATACACTTCTATTTTTTTCAAAGGTTAAAATATATGTGTGGCATATTTTCAACATTTATATGCCTCGAACTTCTAAGAGTTTAAACTTATACTAAAATTCTGTACTACCCCTCCATTTACTTTGGTCATCCACAAATTTCAATTTGGCCGCTATTCATGTTTATACTGGTAACATTCCGTAGTTATGTCTCTAACTAGAGATGAAAAATAGAGATCATATCTGGGAATCCGTTGTTTAACAAAACAAATGATCTATGAGAATTATATATCTCCCCAAAAGAAGCGTGGTTTGTGAAACAGCTGTATTTACAAAGTGCAGCTTTTTCATATTTAGATGTATGTGCGTTTACTCCTTCTGTTAATTCTTTGTTAAAATTATACCTAAACTATATTTTTTTGTTATAATGATTTTTAATGTTTAAGTCATATGAAACTTCAAATTTAAAAAAAAATGTTTTAAAACATTTTAAAAATGGAAACACATTTTAAAAATGGAAAAACATTTGCCAGACAAAAATCTTGTTTGGAACCTTTCTGGGAGGTTATATGGTTTGAGCTGGCTAAGTGGATAATACTCTATGTAGTTTTACAGCAAAGATAAACAGTGTTAAGTCCTTGCTAAATATTTAAGCTTACAGAGAACTAACACATATTGGAAGGGTTGCAGTTATTAAAATTTTCGCACTTCCAATATTGGTTCAAGTTCTGACTGTCCTTCCTGACTCCCCAGGAGGGGTTCTGAAGGAGATTCAGAACATATTTTTCATTTTTTTATGGAGTATTTATAAAGTAATGAAATGAGTGATAATGTGCGAACACTGTGATGGCGGTCTTAAGATGCCTAAAATTTACTGTTTTTGCTTTAGTGTAAAAATGTTTTGGCTGAATAAATCATTAGATCCACAAAATTGCTCACCTTTGAAAGTTCTGTTGCTAAGTTATTTACTAAAAAAAATGGGGGAGACAAAATTTTACACTTAAGTCAAGATTGATTACTTTATTTATGCCCTTTTGACATGATATCCTGGTAAATTTTCCCAGTTGCAAAACAACATTGATATTCTGGCCCAGTCCATATGGCTGAACCCAAACATCAAAATAGATGGCAAGATAATTTTGAAGTTTAGATATATTTAAAATGATGTATTCTTTCTTAATGATCTGGTGTCAGATAATAACACATTATTCTCATATGGAAAAAAAAAAAAAAGTATAATATCAATACTAATTTTGGAGAGTTTTATGGCATCTTAAGTGCAATTCCAATTGTATGGAAAATTTGATAGAAGTTAGTTCTAAATTGGACAAAATTGAAAATAAATTGGTAAATAAAGTTAAAGAGAAAACAATATCCTGTATTTTTTCTATAGATTATTTTTAAAAGATAATAAAGTATCAGCTTAATCTTCCCCGTAATAAATGGGAAATAAATTTAGATATGCAGATAGATGATAAGAATACTATTTAGGATTTTGTCAACAGTAAAACAGTAAATAATATTTTGTTGTTATCTAAATACTATATATACAAATGTAAATGTAACAATATTGCCCACATAATTTGGTGGGATAGAATATTTAAAATATTGGATTTATATAGAAAAATACTCTGTATGAATCTTAACCCCAGCACATAAAAGTAAAATTGATCAGAAGTGGCAATTGTTAGAAACAGCTTTTTATTTAACAAAATCAATTGTAATCTATATATCTTATTATATCATTATGACTTGATCGATCTTACAAGTGTTACATAATTTTAAAATTTTTTGTCTTATACTGTAGTATGTAATTTCACATGTTTCATCATAAAAAAAAAATAATTACGAAATAAAAAAAAAAAAAAAAAAAAAAAAAATTAATGATGAATTTACTATTTTCTCCAAGACTAAAATACCAAACAGTACATATCCAACGGATTAAGTGTAAAGGCATTATGAGCAGTCTGAGAAATGCATGACCTCGTTCAATACCAAATATAATTATCTGATGTAGAACCATACGACTTTATAACTGTACAGCAATAACTATTTAGTTATGTTTATTTCAACAAAATCAATTTTAGTACCGATAAAGACAATATTCAAATATCTTGCTATTGAACTGAAAAATACAGAGGAGATCAAAATTATGAAAACTAGATAGCCAAACTGACCAGCGAGCATCATAGTAATTAATAAGATTACGAAATTTCGTTATTTCTTTTTTTCTCGAATTTTAGAATTTAACATCTACGGTAAATTATGAAAATGAACAGTGCTGAATTATGAGCAGTAAAGTTGCATGTCAACTGCCTGTTAAAATTATCAGAGGGGCAAACTTTACCCTACTTAAGTGGGAAAAGAAGTATTTGTTTCAAAATACGAATTACACTGTCACACCCCAAGTTTTTGGTGGGGTTCGTGTTGCTTAGTCTTTGGTTTTCTATGTTGTGTCATCTGTACTATTATTTGTCTGTTTGTCTTTTTATTTTTGGCCATGGCGTTGTCAGTTTGTTTTCGATCTATGAGTTTGACTGCCCCTCTGGTATCTTTCGTCCCTCTTTTAAATCATCATCCGTCGTTGGATACGGCTACTTTTTTAGCTTGAAGGATTCAAGTAATGGGCTTTTTGATGTTGTTAGACTTTTCAAACTTGCCTGAATGGAAAGGATTTATTTTTTATAAATTGTTTACACCGTATGTTCATTTCTACATGACTTTTATGGCTTTTGTGTTGTATGGTTGGCAGATTGTTAACGTAAATCTCATTCACATTGAAGTTTAAGTCTAATTTTTATTTTCAGTATACAGTACAGTACAAACTAAAAATTTGCTTACAGTTTTTTGAAAGAACACTACTACAATACACAAGATGATTATATAATGCCAACATTTCTGGACATGACTGGTTTTGAAAATGATGACTCACTCTTGACAAAAGAAATGCTTAACATAGTTTTTAGTGGCAAAATGGAAGACGGGGAGAAACTTTCAGACATGGTTTTATTTGGTGGAGAAAAGGGCATTAATGCTTTAAAAGAAAAATATTTAAAAAAAAAGTCTGAGAATGTAAATAGACTTATAGTTGTTTGTTCGGCAAATCCTGATTTGGCTTTACCAGAGGCTTTGTTCGAAAATATAATTGATGTCACGAGCAGAGATCGAGGTTAGTTTCAATATTTTTTGCTGCACCTTTTGGTAGACAAATAAATAATTAAACAAAAGGGGAGAAGAGAGCAAGGTACAATAAAATCTATTAACCAAAATCAAACGAAGATAAATAAAGTAATAATTTTTTTAAGGTCAAATGTGATATGGCACTAACTGTACCAATGTTATTTCACCTGATTATCATTCAAAAATCGATGCATCTGTAGTGATTAACGAGGCCAAATCATCATTTCAAAGAGCATTGCCTAATACAAAAAAATACAAACACTGACGAACTGATATAACAAAAAAATCACTTAAGTAAAGCGTAACTAAATATATAAACGTGGAACAGCTGATAAAACCAAAGAGGCTCAAGAGCAAAGCGTAACCCGGACAAGATACCAGACCTCTTCATGAGCGAGATTCAATTAATTAAAAAAGATTCTAAAAATGCTGTAACTACAAATTTCAATAAAACAATGTTAAACAGATTCAATTCTCTATTCGGTTAGTATATTGTAACAATGACCCATTCGGATTACGCGACCGACACAAGTTCTGGACATGTTCTCTCTAATGTTCGGATTATCATAATCATGCTTGAAATTATGATTTTTTTCCCATTGTTCTAACTTGTTAGTCATATTTATGTTTATGTATGCAAGTAGTTGATACGAATCATTCTTATAAAATAATGCTTAAAAGTTCGGAATTGAAAGCACATAGAACACCCAAAGGTTTTGCGAGGGTAAATAAAATATGACACCTTGCCCTCCCCAGCTGACAATCACATTTTTACTGCAGCGGGTTTCATTTGTCTCGGAGAAATGTATAAATATTCAGCCGTAATAAGTTAGTTGTTACACCCTTCTCCGCAAGTAGCATTCAGCGGTGCCATATCAAAGAAATTTGCTCCACGAATAGCATTAAAATAAGTAGATTTAGCATCATTACACAAGAGACAGCTATCCTACAAAGGCTTCTTAAAGGATACCTATTATAACTGAAACAAATTGATATGATTAAGACATGCACATTACCATTATTAAAAAAAAAGGTAAGTAATATAAGATTCTATTCAGGATATCAAATTAGTTACATATTTGGTAATGTAAGAGTTTTATACAGGAATAACAGGGACTTTTACTTTATCATTTACTAATAAAATGCTCCTGCAAAAAAAAAAAATTAGAAGAGAAGAACAACAAACAACACATGGTACAGATTGTTTGACTTGGTAATGGCAAAAATGTGGTAGGGTTCAATCATTCACTCTGTACATAAGCCAGATCCTGTCCTTGTCAATCTTAATCAAATGTCATAAAAAACCCTTGACAGCCCACCTATTGGCACCTGGAATTTTTAACTTTTTTTATTCGAGCGTCACTGATGAGTTTTATGTAGACAAAACGCACTCGGATTTGGTTTCATTCAGTCTTCTTATATATTTAAGTGAAATCGTCATTATTTTTGAGTGACAAGTTAATATTTAGAATGGTCAACCCGGCGGACAAAAGAACCCTTTTGACAGAATTAGCAAGTATCTTATGCCTTTAACCCTTGTTAATTATGGACGAAGGAATAATCTCTTGTTTAAATATACGCTTTGACTGCTCTAGTTATTCATGGTAATACAAGAGAAGGAAAATATCGTCGGATATGATCTTTTAATGAGAAAACTAAAATTGACAAACTTAATACAGATAATGACTAAATAATGATTTTTTTTTCAAAGTATTAAAAGTCTGTTGCATTACGTAACATTTGAGTTTTAGCAATTTTACGTCCATTAAAGTCAGCAACATGAGAAAATATTGCAGCAGACCCTTCAAGTTGTAAAATATAAGTGCCATAGGATTCAGACGAAAATTGCAACTAAGAAATAACAAGAAATTTTGTGAAAAGGCAAAGTTGAAATTATCTCTTTTGTCCCATATTTCAGTTGCCGTTTTGTCATCTTGTACATAAAACAGCCAAAAAATAAACAAAAGTGGTCGTAATTATCAGATATGTCTACCTGAAGTTCTTTGGGATAAATGTTTTTAGCTTTTTAATAGATCCACCTCGGTGTTGTATGGGTATTGTACTCGTCTGGAATACGGGAGGCCGTGGGTTCTATCCACCTCCGGGTCAAACAGAAAAAAAATTAAAATTGCTATTTGCTGCTTCTTTGCTAGGCACGGGGAAGTAAGGACTAAGATCAAAATATGACAGGTCAGGTGTCGATATAATGTGTCAGGATAGGGTGTCAAGACTTCTGGCAGATTGTTAACTGGTGAACTAGCACGTTTTCTTCCAGAAATGCATTTAATTTGCCACTGGGCATTAGTTTGCCGAGTTTATCTTTCATCATTTTATGTGGAACAGAAGGGTATAAGTTAGAGAAACTACACAGCTAACAACTTATGATTAATATAATTGTGGTTCTTTTATAAGACTTCTGGTTAAATTCGGAGTATTTTCAAACGGGTGTCGTACATGTATGTGGAGCATGATCTGCTTACACATCCGGATCACCTAAGATCCCTACGGTTTTTAGTGGGGTTCGTGTTGCTCAGTCTTTAGTTTTCTAGTTTGTGTTTTTTATTTTTTGTTGCCTTTTGGTCGTTTTTCGTTTTTTTGCCATGACGTTGTCAGAGTTTTTGACTTATAAGTTTGAATGTCCATTTGGTATATTTTAGCCTCTCTTTTACATCAACAACTTTACATGTTTGCTACCTTATCGACTGGTACGAAGGACTTTTCAATTTCTTATTTAATTCTTTTATTTTGAATGTGATTCAAGATTCAGAAAGGTTTTGAATTTAGGGAGTTTGTAAAGTTATTATTGTGAGATATCTCTAGTACATCACAACATTCATTTAAATGTGTCTAATTCCTTGTATTGAGGTGTAAAAATCTATCTTTTAATAACCATGTTATAATTAAAGCGAGATTATAACAAATTGCGTATTAACAAAGACGTCGGTCACAGATTTGATTCTTAAAATGTATATTTGTATTCAAAGCCTATAGACTCAAACGAAAAATACAGACTTTCTAATTTTACAGATATTACCGTTTATGGAGTCTTTACTCAAACAGATACATACAGTTCCTATGATCCAAAAGTTGTCGAAAAAGAAAGACGATTCTTGACAAAGTTAGGAATTTCAGAAACACGATTTGCTAGGATAAAGAATTATTGTCCGGATGTTGTCCCGTCCTTGAAGTACAGGGACACGACAGTTCCATCTTTGGATATTCCTGTTTTGCGATTTTTAGAAGTGGTCAGATTTTTATTTTGAGCATAGTAAAACCTTGCATATTTAATTCATTTGATACAATAATATCAGGAAGGATGAATACCTAGCACTAGTTAGACAGATTATAGTGCATAACTTGTAGACAATTAGTCACAATTCATTAAAAAATATTGTGATTTAATATTTACCTGAATAAAAAGAAGAAAAAAAGGGCTGGATTAAAAACAAATATTCCAAATTAATGAATTATTAAACTGTAATGGATTTTAGAGATTGAAATTTTCTATGTTGACATTTTCTCCGAGCTTTAATAGCCCTCATTTGAAAAACGAGACATAGATGGTGACAATGCGAATAACCAATGTCCTGTCTTATGCCAAACGGCAAAAATAACAGATTTACCTATCAGATATGAGGTTCTTATAATATTTTGTAGTATCGTATGATACCTAGAAAAAATTCTCAAAATCTACGAACAAAAAGCTTGAAACTGTATTATTTATACATGTAATAACTTGTTTAAGATTTTTGTTGTGTATTTCTATAAACTTATTCAAATCCGATTGGTATCATCAACTTTACGATTTTTGAATAAAACAATAAATAATTCGCCTTACTTTTTTGTCAATATAAACTGAGGTACTATTTGTAAAACACTCAATCACACACTTGATGTCATTAAATTTAAGTTAAGCTGTATTTATCATGGTTATTTGATGCTTTTAAGTTATCCCAGAATACATTGATTACATATTTCAGGTGCTGACACCAGAGCCCACCGACTATGTCAAAAACAACTCTTCTGAACCTCAACCTCTTTTAAAGCCATACAAAGTTGTTGCATTAATTGTTTTGTTTGTTGCTATTGTCGTTGCATTGATTGTGATGTGTATTTAAATCTTAATATAGTCATATATCTAGTTTTGGCTTAGGAAATAATAGTAAACGTAGCACCAAAAATTAATCATAGTAACCTAGCATCCAAAGGTATCATGATAAAAGAGAGGCAAACGATACTAAAGGGACATTCAAACTCATTAGTTGAAAATTAATTGACAATGTCATAGGAAAAAAATAAAAAAACGAACAAAAGACAAAAAACAGTACACAAAACACAACATAGAAAAGTAAGGACTGCGCAACACGAACATAAACAAAAACTGTGAGGGATCTCAGGTGCACCGGAATGGTAAGCAGATCCTGCTCCACATGTCACAACCATCGTGTTACTCATATATGTTTACACCAGGTGACAAGTCTAATTAGGTAAATCACAGCCGAGGAAGGGAGGACGGGTCTGAAAATAATCATATGGGATTTTATAATCATCTGTGGTACATTGAAAAAAAGGGGTTCATTTTTCACTTAATTGTTTGTCTTTCATTACTGACAACATCCATCATTTTTTCAATCAAGTGATTCCGTTCAGAAATAAGCTGATTCATCTTTACTGAATAATTGTTTCGATTGAAAAAAATTACAAAGTAACCTTTGCAATTGTTGCATACGTGTTATCAGAAGTGATGACCTTATATTGATTTGGCTTTTATTTTAAATTTTTTTTTTGTCATATAGCTCATCAACTGTTTCGGCTCTTATACATTCTCGGCTTTCAAATATTCGGCTTTGAGCGTTCCTGATAAAGGTAAATCCAGAAAGGCGCTTCGGCCGCATGTAATTATTTAACGTGTTGTTTTCATTGATTTTGATTTTTGGTGTTTTAACGCCACTTTTAAGCACCGCTTTTGGGCTATTTCGTGGCGCCCAGTTTTTATTGGTGTAGGAAGCCGGAGTACCCGGAGAAAACCACCGACCTTCGATAGGAAAACTGACAATCCTAGTCAATTACGATTGGAGTCGAGTGCACCCACACTGTTGTTTTAATTTTTTATAAACAGAAATCAAACTCTCAAATGATTAACGATCATCAAAGGTGTTTAATGATTCACAAACATGTCACTTAATGAAAACGGTTCCATAACAAATGCTACAAATGTAATTTGAATTGTTATTTTTCGTTGGGCACTTAAATTCCTGGATAAAGCCATCCACGAAAACCACGAAATATGATACCCCACGAATAAAAGTACCTTCACGGTACAGACCTGTCATAGATCATCAAAACAGAGAGAGAAACAAGAAGATTTTACCTTTGAATTTCAAAAGATATGGATAAAAAGAGAAATGAAATATACGTCAATGAGATAGCAACCCAACAACTGGAAAAATCAAAAGACAGCTATAGGTCAACTATGCGGTTTTCGAAGTATCTTAACGATTTGAAAAGCTAAACATTGCATCAGAGTCAACAAGTTACGAATACAAACAGAGAATATCTATTTTTTAAAGGACCACAAAAGTATGTATGCAATGTTTTTGCCACCCATCATATATTTTGGTTATCAGAGTAAACAGTATGTTAGAGCTCTTATTAATTAATCTGACTGACAGGGAAAATTCATCTAACTGCCCCTGCACTAAATGACGAGCAAAGAACTGTCCTAATTTACATACATGTGAACTGTTCTACCCTAGAACAAATTCTGAAAGCTTTAACATAGAACAGATTTGTATAGATTTACTTATTTTCCACTGCATTTCCTAACTGATTATATGTGACTGATAATACATGTAATATCCAAGTTGGTACTTTATCCAATGCATGCCATTCCTCCTCTTGACAATTGAAAGTTGAGCACATTAACAAAATTTTGATACTAAATCAAATATAACGAAAACAATATATCCACTTTAAAAAAATGTTTAGAAATGGAACCGTTAAGGATACAACATGTAACAAAATTTCGACTGTTGTATATAAAAGATGGTTCGTTTTTTAATGATCGATCTATATAGATTATTATGATAATTATGTTATGACTGCTCAAATAAGTTTAAATATGACAGATAAAGTGCATATTTTATAAACATTATATGTTGGAAAAAACGCAGATAAAAAAACACTCTTATTCATTAAGCAGCAAAGCGATTTCCCAGTAATCTTGAAATGATAGAATTCCTTCTTTATTATTGTCTTATCATTTCTTTTTTTTTTCTCATTACAATGTAACGTTTACTCAATTTTCTGGTTTTCACTTTTTTATATGTTTTGTTAATTGCTCAATAATTTCTTTGATTATGCATGCTGACTACAAACTGTATATTACAATGTATATCCTACCTCTTTAAGATTTCAAAGAATTAAAATGGTTGTCTGATCGATGTCACGTACATACGTGTATATATTAAAGGCACTATATGAACAAAAGATATTGTTATTGACATTGCCTGATTTTAGACGGCATCTTTAAAATATTAAAAGTTAGTAACAGATACTCAGTGACCTGATATGGCATATACAAGGTCAGTAAAAGCTGTATAGAGATTCAGACTACGCTCTCACCACATATATATGTTAAATTTCCTGACCATGTATTTACCACATAAAGTCACTGGTGAACTGTGTAATATATAGTATTCATGGTTTTTAGAGGACATAGATAGGTTCAATGATCCAATTTGTTAACGTTCACACTGAGCATTCTATTTTATGACATATGGGTTTGTTGTTAAACGTTTCTTTTTTTTTTTGCCGAATTTTGAATGAATTTGTATGAATGTGTCAAAACATTCAGATTATATATTGATTATGAGTGTGTCTGTAATGTGTATGTATGTGGTCTTGCTATTTTAGATGGAAACGAATTTCGTATAATTTAATGAAAACATTCTTATTTTTATATAGGATCTTATTAGATAAAATTGAACATCAATATAATATCTTTATTGTTACATTATGCATTACCCTTATGATTTTTTATATCCTTGGCTTTCACATGTTTGAATTTCACCGATCCTGATTAGGGTTAATCCAGCCACGAAAGCGCCTCGGGAGCACCAAATGTATGAAGTATAAAGTCGATTCACACTTTTGATTTTTGCAATCAGGTAATTTCTTTTAGTAGTTTTCTACTTTATGAAATGTAAAATGACTATTTTACACAAGTTAAACATTTCCAGAATGGAATGGAGTGCTTATATTGAAAAAATATAACGACAGCATTGGTTTTTGTTTTATTTTATGATTTGTGTTTATGTTCCTTTATCATTTTAAATTATAAAGACACATTTTTCATTTTTTGAAGCAGCGTATATTATTTTCTTAAAGTTTAAGATACTTTTATTTATTTCAGCATCGCTATTATAAGTTGTATTATACCAAGTGAGACTTAACATGGTCTGTTTTGGATCATGAATAAGGGATTGTGCAAGGAAAATGTAACATAGAAATAGTTAACATTATAAGATTATTCATTAGATAAATATCTTCTTGATTAGACTGAACTCCCGTCAATTCCGAATTAATGTTATTCTCCCTTATGAACTAAATTGTTTCTGACAGGTATTGGCTAATGAACACCCTTAAAAACATTGCCACCTTTAAAAGCACACAGCGTGAACTATACATAAATGGATGCTTTAAATCGACCATTTTCCGAGAAATATACAGACAATGTTAATGTTATGTTTTGTTCTAAAATCAGACTGTCTAAATTGTATTATATGACAGTTAGAAACAATTTACGCTTAAGAAATGAATATCGCATATTTATATATTGTCGGCATCGAATAAAACAAACGTGTATTTAACAAAAATAACAAATAAAAACTTGAAGAAGATTATCTATCATTTTAAGAAAAAAAAAAACACATTTGCAATTTGGCTTATACCACTGTCCAAGGCAAAAGGGAGGGTTAGTGCCATCAAACGAGTTTAACCACATTCTGTATGTGCCTGTCCAAAGTCGGGAGCCTGTGATTCGGTGGTTGTTGTCTGTTGCTGTGTAACATATTTGTTTTTCGATCATTATTTTGTACTTAAATTAGGCCGTTAGTTTTCTCGTTTAATCGTTTTACATTTGTCATTTTAGGGTCTTTTATAGCTGACTATGCGGTATGGGCTTTGCTTATTGCTGAAGGCCGTACGGTGACCTATAATTGTTCGTTTCTGTGTCATGTGGTCTCTTGTGGAGAGTTATTTCATTGACAATCATATCACATAATCTTATTTTATATTTACTTGGAAATTTGCACAGCGACGCAAAATAAGATGTCTGAAGATGAACAAGTTTATATATATATAAACAATTTAAATCAAGAGATGATAAATACATGTCAGGGACTATATACCCAAGTAGACCGAACATGAATAGCCTAAGCCATCTAGGGTCAACTTTACCTGAGAGAGTTAAATTTTAGTTTCTGAACAGTTTTTTTTTAATTTATCTAGAGAGATTTCGATAAGAGTATGTTTTAAATCATGTCAGTACAGAGCATATAAACTTGAACTGATGATATCCTTATATAGGGTCAGCAACGGAACCGAGTGGTAGTAACTAAACAAAACACTTAATGAATTCCGTGAGTTTTATGCGCTTATCTGGATAACATTTCACCAGGACGCTCACCAAAAAATAAAACTTAAACACGTATGTTGCCCGAGGGAGTGAAACATAGGCAAATTTTGAGTCAGGGACTTGAAGCTTTCAAAACAATTTATTATTTAATATCAAAGAATTGGATGCTGAGAAACACAGCGAGGCATTTACTTTATATGAATGCATGATAACTATGACTCATAAGTTTGTTCTGCACATTCGTTGATTGATATATCAAATTATTATTCTGTAAATTAATTTCCTTTGTTGTGTCATATTGATTAAAAAATCATTAGTTGCAACGTATGGTATGCTGTTTCCAAATAAGTTTGTAAACAGTAATTTTCATGATATCCTAGAATATCCAAATCAATGACAAATTAAGTTTGCGAGAAAGAAACACATTTTGCCATGGAAAAGCGATTTTGCTGTAATTCAATGTTTTAAAAGAATTACCGGAGAAACACATTAAAAGTTACCTTC